GAATCAGATCTCATAGGTCTCGGGAATTGTGCTTCTTTAATATTTCTCATGGCTGACACTAACTCCACTACACTGACGTTGAAGTTATATTCTGATAACTTGGAGTAAGAAGGATCCTGAGACCCTGACGATAATTTATCCTGAAGTGATCTACTGTTTCGACCACGATCGGTCCCTCTGTCAACGGTGAACTTGTTTGCTGCCCGGAAGTTTCTGACATGGCCTTCAGTCCGCTCGTAAGGCAAAACCGGCCCCTCGAAGTCCGTCTGTCCACGTCGTAGTCATCCTTTGATTTTTGCTCTGCTCTTCTCCCGTCCCTTAGCCGATGATGTAGAACCGACCTGGTCATCTTCGATCCTTATCTTTGACACGTACCGGTTGTGAACATCTGCCCAAGTTATTGCTTGAAAATCAACCAGGCTCTCCTTCAGCTTCCGAGAAGCGTTTGAGCTTCTCGGATTCAATTCTTTGGTGAATGCTTCAGGTGCCCATTCATCCGAGACAGCAGAGAGCAACATTCTTTATTTCTGGAATAGGGTAACGAACTCTCGTACTAATTCGGATTCTCCATGTGTGATCCTTAATATGTTGGCCTTCTGGGCTTGTACTTTCTGGCCCCGGCATGAGCCTTGATGAAAGAATCTGTGATCATCTCAAAGGAATCTATGGAATGCTCGGGTAATAATGAATTCCACGTTAGAGCTCCCCTCGAGAGAGTTTCTCCAAATTTCTATAACAACAAAGATTTAATTTCGTGTAGAGCTAAATCATTTCCTTTTACCGCTATTGTGTAGGTAGTAATATGCTCCTGTAGGTCTGAAGTCCCGTCATACTTTGGCATTTCGGGCATTTTGAACTGCTTTGGGATTAGTTATGGTATCGCACTCGGCTTGTACGGCAATTGAGTATACTTTTTCGAGTCTGGGTCTTTCAGTATAGGTGGTGCGCCCTGGATCTGGTCCATGCGGGCGTTTACTTCCCTCATAAACCGTAAAAGTTCATTCTTGAACTGGTCGTTCTCGTTGTTGAAACCGGGTCCGTCCCCCCTGCCACATCGGAGCCAATTTCACCCTTGGGAGTGTTGTTGTCGACTCTCTGCGTTGTTTGGTTTACGGGAACACCGGGAAGAATTAGATCTCGTCTGTTTGTATTATTTGAAGCCCCCGATAGCGCCTGCTTCAGCTCTGTCATAACCTTATCCTGCCGCATGAGATGGCTTAGAATGATCGCATGTTGCTCTTGCAGGACCCTCACCGCATCCACGACATGCTCCTCATCAGCATCATTGGGAGTTGTCTCCCGAGCCAGTCGAGGGTTTTGCCTGTCATGCACCAGCATGGCGTCATTTATCTCATTATGGGTGTCACTGATCGAATCCTCGAAATGAGGCTGATACCCTCGAATTTCAGGGTTGTACGTGTTGTTAACAGTGTTATCTGCCATTTTTTGTAATTTTTTCTAAGACAAAATAATCAAATCACGTTAGTAAATAAGGCAAGGATCAATTTAATTGCACGGCTGTCTAGGCCCCACGGTGGGCGCCAAATTATTTACCCGTAAAACGGTACAGTTAAATTTATACGTGGGTTCTAGACAAGTAAATTAATTTGATCCTGAAATAATGTGATAATTGAAGAAATGTACAATACTTAGCCTTAAAATGTAGATGAAACAGCAGAGATGACAGTTCAGGGAACAAGGTTTCCGAGTACAGCAATAATGAGATCAAAAAGTAAAAAAGTAAGATTAAATTAAGCTTTGTATTGACTGTAGTGTAAGTTTAACCAGAAAATTCCTATCCTTTAAAATGATAATTGGGTTCACTATTTATAGTTGTGTCTAGGGAAGGAGGTCCTAGGATCGTGCCCTCTTTTAATGTCAATTATGAGGATCATTGATAAAGATGTAATGGTGAATATAAATGCCAAATTCTCTGTAACGGGCCGTTGCTCTTAATGCTGCAGAATATTCCTTATTAAATGCTACCAGGCGCAGAGCATTTAATACACCTTTATGAACGTTATCTCTTCCGGTGACAAACAGAATGACTGCGTTCAGTCTTCGGCCATCCCCGTCAAGGTTTCACGTGTCTTTCCTTTAGATGACCACGTGTCAATATCATATTTCACCAAATACAAAAAATATCACCTATGTATTTGCAATTTGAAGTTCACTAACCTTCGAGAATAAGTTCGTGACACTAGGAGAATATTTGTATTTCCAATTCACATCCATTTATGTTTGAAAATTATTTTTGTTTTAAAATAAGAGAACATACGCTTCATAGAGAGAGAGAATATGTTTTTTTTTTAATATAACAAATGTGTGAATTTGAATCCAAATGTGTGCGGACAGATGATAGAAGGTGTCAAAAAAGATAACTTTAATGTATTTATTTATTTATTTATTTATTTTGCAGTCCCTCCTTTCACAACCAGCTGCTATAATGGACAAAATAGGAAATACATTTGTTAGGACCATATCGGCCAAAACTTGTAATTAAGTACAAAATTTAGCCCGCTTGGGAAACATAATGTTCTGCACACAACCGCGCATATAATGTCTCTTAGNTATATATATATATATATATATATAACTTGTAATTAAGTACAAAATTTAGCCCGCTTGGGAAACATAATGTTCTGCGCACAACCGCGCATATAATGTCTCTTAGTTATCTATTAATATATATATATATATATAGCTTAGTAATTAAGTACAAAATTTAGCCCGCTTGGGAAACATAATGTTCTGCGCACAACCGCACATATAATGTCTCTTAGTTATCTATATATATATATATATATATATATATATACACCTCCTCCTTTTACCAAAAAAGGAAAAAAAAAATACTATGTCAAAGAATGTAAGCATTGAACTTAAATCTTAACGAAAGAATTCTGAAATCTAAGACTTATACAAAATGAACTCTTTAATGGTATTAATTTACATATATCATAATCTAACAACTTTACTGAAATAACACTTATCATGCCTCTCTATATATATGTATGTATGTATGTCCTTGTTTTTCCTTATAATGGCAGCAAATGCAAAGGGAGATGACGTTGCGGCGGAAATTAATATAGTATTATAGCTGTATATATGGACTGTCTCTGTATACCTAAATTATTAAAGCAAAGAAAATACCCTCTCACGATTGAGGTTAGAGTCCCCCACCATTGATGGTGCTTATAAGTACTCGCAATGCAATCGTGACGGATGCAGGATTTACATTAAGGGATCCAAAACATAACAAAAATAAATATATGAAGAAGATAAGAGGATTGCACATCCCATATATATGCATATATAAAAAATTATTGATGCTATATACGTAGTCTAATTTCCTTACGAATAAAACTCAAGTGATTCCCTCCGGTTCCCTAGCTCCGCCCCTACCTGCAATGCTAAGATCAGCACGATCTATATATTACAAATGCTCTTACTGAACAGTTACTCCCTCACATTTTCTGAATCAAAATTTCTCCATGCTCAGAGAATATTATATACTGTACAACAGTACAAGTTTAGCAAAAAAGGAAGTGGTTTTCCATTTGCCACTTGGTTATATAAATTGTGGTGGAGTTTATAAAAATGTAACTTACCATACAAAAACAATCATATCATCCTTTCCATGAACAATTCTTTCCATATCTGCCCCATGGAAAAAAATCATGTTGTGGGTAGGGTTAAAGCTAATTAGATAATGTTGCTTCTGCTTCGATGAATAACAGGCGTATGAGAATTTGTTACACTATACATCTCTAGCTTCTTCTTCTTTTTTTTTATTTTTTTTTTGCATCAAGATATAATGAAATGTTCGGAGGTCTCGTACAAATGTTAGAACGCTAATTAAAAAGTAACTAAGTAGATAATTTAATTGTATAAACTGAAAGTATAAAAGTTTTTTACATTACCAGTGTATTCTAATTTGTTAGACTAGATTATTTACTGAATATTTCAAGAGTTTAACACTTTAACTTTATATACAGTGACAATATAAAAAGAATCTACTTTCATTATCAGGTGATAACTACATGCAACTATCTATATGATATACAAATGGAGTTAGTAACCTGGATACATACACCAGCTAATGTATTATAACAGATTAAATTACACGAATAAATGCGAATAATCTCTACTTTGTTAGAATATAGGAGTATGAGTTAAATCCATATCCCAAGTTTTCATATTAGATGTATTATGAATAATTACGTATTGTTTAGGTAACTTAAATTGACGGGGTAAAAGGAGCAAGAATATGGGATGGTTCCTTCTCCTAAATTAAGTTAATGCAGTAATCTTTTACTTATAAGCTTTATTTACCAAAATAAATAAATCAAAAAATTTCCAAATCAATACTTATTGGAAGGTACTATTTTCGTCCTAAACAGAAATTAACTATTGAAAAATGTTCACACTCTAAAATGGTACCTTAAATTACTGAAATAAATATTTGGTTAAAATCATCTTACAAAGAAAAGAAGAAAAGAGAGCCTCTTACTTATGTTTCTTATGTTTTAAGAAGAAGGAAAATAACATTAGAAAGAGAGAGAAATCCTACACAATCGATTAAGTGACACAACCTTCGGCAGTGGTTGTATCTCTCCTTCCTTTATGTTATTTTCTTTTATTTTCTTTGGGTTAACCCAACCCTATTTCTTTCATCCCATAAATTTCGTACTACTGTACTGGTAAGTAGTAATACTGAATAGTTATCTTATTTAATTATACGCCAGTCTGGATAGACAAGTTGAAATTTCTTTTCTTATTTTGTTTTTTATTTACATAATAATAAGTCTCATTTAATATAAAGGGTCTAAAGATGTACAGAATACTAAGTTAGGGGGTTGGGGTTGAACCTAATGCAGTTATTCCAATCGTTAGGAACTTATTATTTTATCATAAATCTTTTTCATACTGTCTGCTAGCATTTACTTCCTAGTTGTGTATTTATAATCGCAGTTAGCTTTTCTACTTTCTACACTACACGTGAAAATTCAAACACAAGAAGCTTAGTCTGTTTTCTAGCTCTCATTCACAAAGTAATCATATAACTTGTTAATTCTCTCTATTATTTTTCATTAAGGCAAATGGGAAGGTCACCTTGTTGTGAGAAAGTGGGATTGAAGAAAGGGCCATGGACACCAGAAGAAGACCAAAAACTCATGGCTTTCATTGAAAAATATGGCTGTGGCAGCTGGCGTGCTTTGCCTGCTAAAGCTGGTATTATATTTACTCAATTAATCCATTTTAATTTTCTCATGTCATTCTAATACTTAGATTTATTTCGTATACACTACAAAATGGCAGCTCAGTACATGAATCATTTTGCATTCACACAGAGTTCGAAAAAGGACAACACTCCAAGGGGTATGGTACAGAGCCTATCCTAACGCTTGGGGTGCGGCTCTTCCTCCGACCCTGTATGAATACGGATGTTTTGTGTACCGGGCTGTCCCTTTTTTATTTATTCAATGTATATGACAAAATTATATTACAATCATGGAATTTTAACATGTGTAATAGGTGACTTATCTTATTTTTCATGTTACGTACTAATTACACTTTTAATGGACGATTAATTGCAATTATGTTTTAGGTGATCTGATAATGTAAATATTTGTATTATCCGTATATGGACTTTAAACTCGTAAAACTTTGTTATGGTCAAGCATGCATTGATGAATTGTTTTCATGGGAATGGGTTTGTTAGGACTAAAGAGGTGTGGAAAGAGCTGTAGACTAAGATGGATAAATTATCTAAGACCAGATATCAAGAGAGGAAAGTTCAGTTTGCAAGAAGAACAGACCATCATTCAACTCCATGCCCTTCTTGGAAACAGGTAATAATAACTAGTCACTCAATATGACATGCAAAACCACTCGAGGCTGAATAGGAAAGAAAAGATAATTCTTCCAAGATAGAAAAAACAACAGCGTTATACGGCCTGTACTGCTGCTTCAACATTACGTAAATGGTCTAACATAGTTATATTGACAAGTTTTCTTTTAGATACTTTCCTTTTCAAAGTTTTTATGTATTCCTCCCTACCTTGACCCTCAATCTAAACAATGCATAGCAAAATCCGTCTAAATTTATCTAACACCGTTCCGAGTCAATCGAATTTTTCTTTGATTACGATTCTTTGACGTGCCTTTTTAATATTTTGGAATGTTAATTATTGTGACCGATATTACTTTTTACGTAATTTTTAAATATGTAAATTTTCTTTCAAAAAATTTTGACTTTTGAAATTCAAATGGTACCACATAAATTAGGACATATGAGTATTTCATATTAGTACATGACTATCTAAAGGGTTTATCATATACGAAGTTACTTGAAATTGTCTTTTATGTGACATGATAATGCATGTGTGTAAATGGTAAGTTTTTTGCTAAAAGCTGATAATACTGTTATCATATATATATAGGTGGTCAGCTATAGCAGCTCACTTGCCCAATAGGACTGACAATGAGATAAAGAACTATTGGAACACACATTTGAAGAAGAGATTAACCAAGATGGGCATTGATCCAACTACTCATAAACCAAAGACCAACATTTTTGGAAAGGATGCGGCAAACCTAAGTCACATGGCTCAGTGGGAAAATGCTCGTCTAGAAGCTGAAGCTAGACTTGTTCGTGAATCCAAGAAACAAATTTCCAACCAATTTGGTCCTAATTTGGCTACCAAACCAATATCTTATGGCAACCAGAGAAACATTTTGCCCCTTCAAACGAAAATACCACCTTGTCTTGACGTACTAAAAGCATGGCAAGGGACTAATTGGACAACAAAGCCAAAAACAAAAGACATGACTTCATCAGTTTTTTATCCTTTCTTTGATTCTCCAACATCAACGTCAAACTTATCGAACAACAACTTATTCATGGTACCAAATAATAATATTCCTGGATTAGTGGACATGAATTCGTGTTTGGTTGCAGCAAGTAATTTCGTGGAAAACACAAAGGAAGAAGTTCAAACAGAGTGGAAATGCTACGAGAAATCAAACAACGAATTACTCAGCCAGATTAACGATATTTCATATTCTAATGATTCATCAACTTATAATATGAGCATAACAGATCAATCTTCATTATGTGTGATTCAAGGGTTCACGCACTTGGAAAATATTGTTGGAAGCTGCGAAGACAATATTTTTGAAGACGACAACAACAACAATTATTGGAATACTATACTAAATTCTTGTACTTTACCTGCTGATTCACCAGTATTTTAATTAAGTGGCCATGTAATAGCTAATTTAATAGGTTTAATATTATGACTTGATTAGGAAATTCTACCTTAGACTAGATTTTTAAACCTTGGTGTTGTTGCGACGAGCATCTAGTTCGCGGACCTAGTCTAGAGAAGAATTGCCTGAGAATTTTACAACCAAGAGAAAAAGATTAGAGCTTTTAAGAATTTAGGGGAATAACTATATTGTACTAGTGGTCAGTAGCCCTTTCATAGTTTTATTAAACTCATTGTCAGTGCTATTAAATTGAAGTGCTTCGTGTTTATTGTTGGTGGCCATTTTCAAGGATTTGGTATATGTACGATGGATCCATATTCAGAGAGATATGTGTATTGTGTCATGGGTCCATTAACTCGTTGCTAGCGTGTAATATAAAATGGCGCTAGCTAACAAGAACGACGTAAATATTTCTTACACTAACAGTGTATATAATTTAAACTCTATAAAAATTATGTTTAACGTCCAGTAAACTAGTTATTCGCCTTCTATGTTTTAAAAAAAAAATACAAGACTTGAAGGGGACTCGTCTCATGGTAAGAAGCCAGTCCCCAAACTGTTGGATAATTTTATTTTCATTTTTAGTAACTAATAGCTTGTTTGGATAAGCTGATTGTAAATAGCTGATAAGCTTGAAGTGATGAAAAGTATTTTAAAGTGCTGAAATTAATTTTTTAAATAAGCATTTACGTGTTGGATATGTGTGTTGAAACTGATAATAAGCAGTTGATGTGTTTGGTAGAAAAATGCTGATAAATTATTCTTTTGTTAAAATGACTAAAATATCCTTAAAAACTTTAGAAAAGATAATAAATTAAAAAGTTTATTTGTAAAGAAAAGGATAAACAAACAATATGGAATGAAAAGAAAGTTAGAAAATATATTTTGTGAATTAAAAAATATTATTAAAGATAAACTAGTAAAAGTCTTGGTCAAACTTAAAGTGCTTATACGCTGAAAAGCCATAAGTTGGGAGTGACCAACTTGTGACTTATGACTGATTTTAACTTATAAGCACTTTTGATATTTACCAAATGCATAGATAAGTCAAAATGTGCTTATAAGCCAATTTGATCATCTTATAAGCTTAGCCAAACACCCTCTAAAACGGTTGGATATAATTATGTATCCAAGATCCGATATGTCGTCATGTAATAGTTTAAGAGTTTAAACACATTATTATGAAACTATTGTTGTTTTAATCAGGAGTGATTTATCTGGTATTCATAATTTGCTATCATATTTTTTTTTTGATAAGTTGATTATCCAGACATAATTTATATCTAATGGTCTCGATTAGATGGGATATTAGTATATCTCATTTACAAAATTTCATATAGTAGACAGTGTTTGGAGATATAGGGTGTGTTTGGTAAGAGGAAAAATATTTTCTAATTTTTTCATGTTAGGTTGACTTAAATGTTTCGAAAAATATATTCCTCATGATCTCATTTTTCTCTAATCGAAGAATAATATTTTTCTCTATCAAAAGAATGGAAAATATTTTCCAAAACTCTTTTTCAACATTTCTCACCTTATTCCTCATCCCCACCAACCCACCCTCACACCCCAACCTACTCACCCCCACCCTCACCCCAACCCCGCCCCACCTTTTTTTTTTTATGTTCAAACTATATTGCCTAGGCCTCCGGTTGATAAACTTGAAAACACAACTAAAAAAGATAAATAAAAACATTAATTACTATCATGGCGGTAAGAAAAAACACTAAAATTGACAAGTAATATGTTTGAATTTTTGGCCAAATATTATCCCTTATCTATAAGGGTAGGTTTATTTTTATTCCTTAAATATAACCCCCAGCATTTAAAATCCCAAATTTGCTAAACTAGAACACTTTTAATCTCACTAACTGAATCCATTTAAAACTTAACAGATAAAGCCATCATTAAAAAAGGCCATTCTCAGTTTTTCCCCAATTCTGGTTCCTCGTGATCTAAAGCCAGCATACATATTGCTTGATCGTAAATTAGCAGTGCTAGCACTTAAGTGCACAGAGCTTTGTCAAAGAGACAAGCCCGATTTGAAAGAGGAAATTCTCACTGCATTGGAGAAATTGAAAGAAGTTGCTGATAAGACTCAAGATTCTGCGTCAAGTTGACGCCGTCAACTACCCAGCCTCCTCCTCCTACCTACTACTTGTGTTCTTTACTACTTAGCGAATCGGCAAGTACTTTTCTTTTTTGACTAAACACTGAGTTTTGTTCTCTTTCAGTGTCACATGAATAGCACCGTTAAGTTTTAAACGGATTCGTTGGTGAAACTAAAAGTGCTCTAGTTTAGCAAACTTGAGGGATTAAAGATACTCATGGTTACATTTAAGAGATAAAAATAGGCCTATCCTCATAAATAAGGGATAATTTTGGCCAAAAATTCAAATATGTTTCTATTATTAAATTTGCTTTATAATTTATGATGTAGTAAAAAAATATTTTCTTTTATTTTAACAAAATGAGTATTTTTTTTCATGATGTAGAAAAATATTTTTTTCTCATTTCAACAAAATGAGTATTTTTTTTTTTCATGATGTAGAAAGATATTTTTTTTTTTATTTCAACAAAATGAGTACTTTATTTTTATGTTATAGAAAGAATACTTTCTTTTTCAAGCAAAAAAAGAATACTTCTATTTTTTTTAGTTATGAAGCTTAAATTTTTCGTAAAAATATTTTTCGGTGGAAAACATTTTGGTTTGTACCATACACACCCATAATCACTGGACTAACCGATTTGAGGAATCCCTTGTGATTAAGATTATCATAATTAACATGAATAGAATATTCTCGGAAAGAACATAGTATAGAGGTTTCCTAAATTTGAACTGATTCATCATATAAGTATTTCCTTTTATACTTTGATTCCGGACACCTAACAACCTAGGGAGCTAGTTAGATGAATGGATATTGATATGATTAAATACGTGTAAAATCAACGATTAGTGCTCCCATAAACTGGGGATGAGATCATGTCCAGTAACGTTTGGTCCAGTAAAGTTCAATACAACACTTGATATTAGCCAAGTGTCACTAAAGATATGAAGGGTTTGTTTCAGACGAAATTCGGATCGTTTAGAGCATGTTGAAAGCAGTCGGTTCTTGGCAGAACCTGGTGTAATCGCACCTGCGAAATGGTGACCGCAGGTACGCAGCCGCTTCTGCGACTTAGTGTCACGACCCAAAATCTAACCGTCGTGATGGCGCTTATCGTGGAACTAGGCAAGGCACAACTCAATATCTCAACACAAAAAAAAAAATCTTTGAAAATAAAGACGGAAGCAATTTAATAATATAGGAAAGCCTTTTTTGAAAACAGAAATATCCAAAATACTATACAATCCATCACAAAAAACCGGGGTGTCACTGAGTACATAAGCGTCTAAATCAGAATACAGTCCACTACAGTGTCTAGAGAAATAAACTGAAAATACAACTAGTGATATAGAAGGAGAGTCAAGGCGTGCAAACGCCATGCAACTACCTTGGTAGTCTCCGAACTCTAAAGTCTCAATCAGCAACTGCCGCCGTGACCAAAAACACCTGGATCTGCACACGAGGTGCATGGAGTAACGTGAGTACATCCAACTCAGTAAGTAACAAGTCCAAACTTTGGACTGAAAGGTAGTGACGAACTCAACCGGTATAGATAAAATAGAAATAACTGTACAGAAACGTAGGCATGCTTTCAAACTAAATAGGCAACTCAAAACAATAAAGTGAAGCAGATCCGAATAGTATAAAGAATATAACTCTGCTATCTCTACATGCCAATGCACATGTTGTATATGATGCACCATGTTGTCAGCCTCATGTGCTCACACTCTCAAATGCTCAACCACTCGGTACTGTATATGGCCCATACGGCCCAGGGAAGATCCATCCCGGAACATATACATCACTGACTATAAGTCACCCAATATCGAGGAAGGCCAATCCAGCCCTGTGGAGAAGATCCATCTTCAGGTATCAAGTACTTTGGACAAGATCCATGTCCAGGGAAGATCCATCCCTCAATAATATCAATTGCGCTCACTGGGGGTGTGTTACAGACTCCGGAGGGGCTCTTACAGCCCAAGCGCTATCATAAAATTAGTATAACCGTTGCGGCGTGCAGCCCGATCCCATAATTGTCACTCATAGTCAGGCTCTCAGCCTTACTCAGTCATCAAACTCTCCAGTCTCACTCACGGGCTCACAATATCATGAAAACTAGCCTGAAACAATGATATGATGTATTAATAAATAACAACTGAGACAGAGATATGATATGAAATGCATGAACATGACTAAGTACATAATACCAATGAAATCAGTGAGATGACAGTAAAAAACGATCACTATGGGTCCCAACAATACCGGCATAAAGCCTAAACATGATATCTAGCATGATTGACAGCTCAATTACTTTATCACAAGATGAAAATACGGATATCAACAAAACAGAGAGGTATGTGTAAATGTCAAAACGTGTATTTTGATTGTTTCCTTATAAAAACATATACCTACAGTTATTTATATTGTACACAAATAAGGTTAGATACAACAAAGCTTGTACTACTTTTTATTATTTATTTTCCAAAAGAATTATTATTTCAACTTAAAAGGAATGTGTAAGATACAAAACGAAAATTTAATTGATTCTTTCTCCAAAAAAGATACCTACCAAAATTGAGTTATACATAAAACTTAAATTAAAGATACCTAAAATAATATGAATTGTACACAAATAAAGTCAAATACAAAGTTTGTACTAAATAAAAAATACTTCATCAATCTTTAATTGATTAGTCAACAGACGTCCCTACCATAATTATAGGTTAACTAAATTATACTACACTATGTTATTTATTTTTGGAATTAAAATCCCTATGATTCTTTCTTAAAACAAACCTACCATAACTGAATTATACACAAAAGTTTAATTAAAGATACTTACAGTAATGTATATTGTACAAAAATAAGTTCAGATACAAAGCTTGTACTAAATAAGCTAATCTATGTTATTTATTTTTCGAATTAAAATTTATATTTAATAATATAATATAGTTTTGATTAGTCAACAGGCATAAAGTATATTTCCTATCATAATTAAAAAAACATTTCTCGTTCAAGTACTACTTTAATTAATTATGTTTCCATTAATAATTCTAAATTATCATTGTTGTCTTAAAATTGCCAAGTGGCTTTATTTTAGCTTGTCACTTGGTTTAACCACATTGCAAACTACCCAACTTTTAATATTGTCACGACCCAAAATCTCACCACAGGCGTCGTGATGGCATTTAGTCTCTAAGACTAGGCAAGCCGATTA